TTGTATTACATTAGAATCAGTGGTTCTATACCAACACTAGAGTTATCAGTAACAATTTATGAAATGGATGTTCAGGAAGATGTTTTCTCCCTTATCTTTTCAAGAGAATCTCTCTCTAGTTTAAACAAAATTATGTAGAACTTGGGCATAATGATACATCCCAGCAGGCCTGCACTAGAGACCAAGATGGAGAATACCTCCACAACAACCATGGCCTTGCCCTTGGTGCTATGGTAGACAGGGAGAAAGGTGACCCAGATACTGCAGAACAACAGCATGCTGAAGGTTAGCAATTTGGCTTCATTTAATTTGTCAGGGAGATTCCTGGCCAAGAAAGCCAGAATGAAGCTTCCCAAGGCAAGCAAGCCATGGTATCCCAAGATGCAGTAAAATGCAGTAACTGAGCCTTTGATGCATACAATGATGATTTGGCCATGCTCAGAGTGTGTATCAGTGTCAATAGAGGGAGGAGAAACTTGAAGCCAAATTGCACAGACAATAATTTGGATGAGGGTACAGATGGCTATGATGTAGTTGGGTGCCCCCGAGACCAGAAAATATCTCATTCTTCCAGGGACTGTGACTTTGAAGGCCAGCAGCACAGTCACTGTTTTGGACAACACAGTGGAAACAGCCACAGTGAATACAACTAAAAATGTGATTTGCTGCAGGACATAGGTAGCTGATTTGGTTTGGCCAATGAAGAGCAAGGGGCATAAGAAACAAAAGGTGAGTGAGATGAGCAGTATGTAACTAAGATACCGGTTGTTGGCCCTCACAAGGGGAGTGTCATGGTGCTTTACAAAGATCCCAAGAACCAGAACTGTGAATGCAGAGAAACACAATGCCATTAAGGCAAAAGAAAACCTCCATGGATCTTCGTAGTTCAGAAAGATCACAGATTTGGGAATGCACTGGTTCTGCTCTCTTTTGGCATAGAGGTCCTCTGGACACCTCACACATTTATCCACATCAGATGGAGAGAGAAAATATGACTAATGCTTCTTCAGTCATTTCTTGACATATTACAATTAAGTGTGTTGAAGAAGCAAGCATTGCAATATCAGCACATCATCATTTGTTTTTGATGATGTAATTGAATTACATTGCTGCATACCAATGCTTCCATTTCAAAATACTCATTCATTATTTTATGAGAATTTAATTAAACAATCATTATGTTGTCTATTTAACTGTGTGTTGATGATGCCATTTGCTATATTATCAGAAAGCACATGTAATTTCAGTATATTCTGAATACTAGGATGAAAGGGCTTCAACTGGTAAATTTACCATTACTTTTCACAATGTGTATTGTACTTTCCATGGTTATAGTGCCTCCTGATGTCTTTCTATCTGTTTTATTAATGTTGTTCTTGTAATTGATGGAGACTGGGTTTTCTATTTGGACAAGTCCTGTAGTACACTTTCTAGTATCATATTGCCAGCCCAAACCTTTTGACATAGAGAAAATACTAAACAGAATCAGTTA